GGCAAAAAATTTAAAAAAAAAAAAAACTTTTTTTTTTTTTTTTTTTTTTTAATTCTTGAGCTTACCTTGCTGCCTACTGAACCATTGGCTTCTAATTGAGCTTTCTTGGCTGGAATCGGAGCTGCCTGAAAGAAAAAAAGACAAACTGGTCACACTAAAATACAACAATAAGCATCTTAAAAGGAATAGTTCACGCAACAATAAAAATTTGCTGAAAATTTACTCTACCATACAAGATACACACGAGTTTCTTTCTGCTTTGGAACAGATTGAGAGAAATTTAGCATTACTGCCCTTGTTCACCAATGGATCCTGGATGAACTATTTCACTGGAGGAAGTGTTATTATGGACTCATATTTTGACCAGAAGTGATGGTCAAAATATGAGATAAAACGACTTAATGAGGAATCTGTTACAAACATGCAGCTTTTCAATTCACATGAGATTAAATGGACCGAGTCATGTGGATTATTATGTTTTTATCAACTGTTTGGACTTTCATTCTGATGGCACCCATTCACTGCAGAGTATGTAATGGTAAACTTATCAAAATCTGTTTAGATGAAGAAACAAACTCTTCTATATCTTGTATAGCCTAAGGGTGAGTACATTTTCAGAAAATTTTCATTTTTGGGTCATCTATTCCTTTAAATGTTCCAATTAGAAATTACAAAACAGTACTTACAAATCCTGGGAAATCATAGTCAATGCCCTTTGCCGCCAGTCTCTTGCGTAGCTTAGACTCTTTGCTTAAAAGCTTTGTGCCAACTTTCTTCAGATCATCTTCAGCATGCTGTTTGTTATAACGAGCAACTGCAGGCTGCTTTGGCTTCTTGAAGCCCAACCTGGAACCAACAAATAGCTTTTCATGGACCTTCTCAGGTGGCACCACTTGACCTGAACAGGACAAAACACAGTAAAGTTTAGACAACATCATGTAAGAAAACATGCAAAACCTTTTACTCTCAACTTACACTTTATGAGCCGTTCTCCGATAAGGTAGTTGTTCATGGTCTCAGCCACAATCTTAGCAACCTCATCACACTCAAACTCCACAAATCCATAGCCTTTGCTCCGTCCGGTCTGCAGAAGAAGAAAGTTTAATACTTGCATTGAAATCTTCAAAGCAAGATATTGTTTACTGGTATGACTCGTGTGTTTATAGTGTTGGCACATTGGTTTCATTGTACAACAAAATGGAGTTGGCAATAAGCAAAAATGTACCTAATTACTGTCTGCACAATTATCTTAGCCAAGGCAACAAATGCCAAAGACAATTTTCAGGCTGTGCCGTTATGTTAAACAGATAAATTAAAATTCCATAAAAGTAAACACTCTAAATTCTAATGGAATTTCTATTAATATTTGGAAGCAACCCCAAAGGGATCAAGTTTTCTTTAAGAATCCTCTTAGAATCAAACAGGACCTTATGGAGTTAACTGAATGAATCCAAGAGAATCTTATGTTTCATTATAGAATTCTCATATTTATTTCAAATAATCATTGAAATTGCATCAGAATTCCGTTAGGAGTTGTATTCAGCCACTTCCCTAATATTTACCTCTTTCTACAGAACTTATAAATTCATTGTGTTACAAACCCAATTGATTGTAAAACGCCTAAAATACGACTACAAGCACGTCGTACCTTTTTACTCCTGGAAACTCTTGTTCGAGTGACTTTGCCAAACTGTCCAAAGTAAGATTTTAATTGAGGTTCAAACAATCCTCGAGGCAGATGACCAGCATAAAGTACTCCAGGAGAAAGCGGCTGACCCTGAGGGGGAGATCATAATTAATATCACATTCAGACAAAAAAAAAATGCTAGTAAGCCCCACACACACACACACACACACACACACACACACACACACAC